ACCCATCAGGTTGTACCAGCGGATAATGCACTTCAGCTAACAGCGGGTGAGCGAACTAGTTGTCGAATCTGAGCCAGGGACGCTCACCAGTTATTCATGAAAAGCAAAGAAAAAACCACACAAGAGGGTGGCTGTGTATGACGTTAAGACGGGACAGATTATCGCGTGATCTAGCTATTCCTATGTACACTGGTCACGCTATTCGATCAATAAAACTACGATGCAAAAAATTGTGCCATCGTAACCGTGTGAGAATCGGTACCGACTGGACGGTTACGAAGTTTTGATTGCTGCCCTTTAATAAAAAGCTTCATCTGCATATCCTGTATGATGCATACCTTCCTCGAAAAGCCATACTGCTTCTGACCACGGGACATACGTAAATTGTCGTTTCTTATAAAATTTTGTTATGCGACTAAAAGATGTTTAGATTGAGTGCACAATACATGAACCATGTACTAAATTTGATTTCCATCATAGAGGATGGGTTACTCAAATGCTCAAGTAAAAGGGTTGCAAGGAGTTTTTAGCTTCAGAAACGAAGTTTCGCGGTTCCTTGTGATTGCATGTCTTCATTCTTTCAATGGTTGTCTGCTTTCTCTTATTTTTTTGTCTTTTTCGCTTCTTGTACTTCCACTGTTTTTTGTTCTTCCACGACTAAATCTGTTCAAATAGATAAGTAGATTTAACTAACTAATGATTGGTTCACTGACTTAAAATTTTTATTGATTACTGTCTGGTAGGGCGATTTGTTGTTTCTCATACTTGATCTTTATATCAGGGCGTCATCAAGCCCAATATAGTGTTTTTCGGTGAACAGCTGCCGGCACGGTTTATGTTGTATTTGGTAGACATGCCACTCACCGACCTCCTCATCGTGATGGGAACTTCGCTTGAGGTAAAACGTAAAGGTACTTCTATATAAATTTAACTTCTAAATTTGCTCTTTCATAGGTTTATCCGGTCGCGGACATAATTTGGTATGTTCGACCAAATGTCCCTCGTCTGCTGATCAACAAAACTTCGGTCAGCTCGTTTGCGGATAAGTATCGGAAAAATGACGTGATTTTTCAAGGTATAGATTTAATTGCTTCTTTTAAAGTGATCTGCCGCGTGAAATTGTTTTATTCTTTCTTAAAAGTTCTGCTTATATTAACTTCGTTGGAAAACGGACAGAAAGTCAAGGTAATGTTTAGTACGTTGCTACAATTAGACTTATTCTGGCTAGTAACCGATATAGCCGTAAAGGTCAGCTTTCAGTTTTGAAATGGCGGCCAATGAGTTAAGTTTTTTATTGGTATTTTTAAGAAATTCTCGATCTTAAACTCTGTCATACCCTGCTTGGAGGATTTGATGCTGTTGTTCATAATTATCGCATAAAGTTACGGATAAAGAACTATGTAATTTTGCGGTGCCCATGTTCTTTACATACGAACAAGACCGCTCGTAGCAACGTTTTTATTACGCTGAGTCGATGTTTTACCAGTAGCATATAAAGAGTACCAGCCGCTGGAACATCGTTCTTGCTGAGCATGAGGTGGCTACTGTAGTCAAAATGACGCGAACTTTTGTAGTGACACAAGGCACTGCAGGTACTTGAGTACCTTGGATCCTTGCTCTGCTAAAGTGGTCCCCAGGGAACTGTGAACTAGTGGACAGTCGAAATGCCACTGAATCTGGCCTTTAACGACTTATGTGCCAATTATCTTTATCCTTTAGAAATTGGTTGTTCTGTCAATTTGTAAAGCCATCAAGTCAACTTGCATTATGCAAAAACAGTGAATCTCTGACGGACGTTCCAGCGATTCTTCTGTCTTTTTTTAAAATGTGTTCAGTGTCGTTTTCTTTGGAGACTCTCTGACGGTGCGCTGAAGAGTGGGCGAAGGTTGGGTTTTAGCTCTGAATTTATCAGGTTCAAGTCGATAAAAAGCAGCAGATCATCATAAGCTTTAATTTACCCTATGTTGTTTCAGTGCAACCAACCGAAAAATGAGTGACAAATCATTGACCTGCGAATAGTATATACAACATGGTGTTCTGTGCAGTCTTGCCAGAATGTGCGAGATGTACGTCTGTGCTGTCTAACGTAATTTTCGTACGACTGCAGTTCGCCTTGACCCAGCTAATCGTTGACTCTTCAATGTTAAGATCAGCTCAAAGTGTAATCTTTGTTTTTCCCGCTCTTGTTAACGTAGCCACGTGACAATTTTTACTGATTTACTGGTTACACATTGTGCTAATTAGTATTCACCATTAGCCTATGAAGGTGATTTACAACTGTAAAGCATGCACATCGAACGGTACGACTACGGCCGGATCGCATCAAAATATCATGCTGCCTCTGGTATTTGCAAGATAACGACTGGTGACCCGTTTATAAGCTAGTTTGAGCGAAGCAAAAACACTACTCAAGGGAATAACGTTTTAAGTAACAAAAGTTTACGCCTCGCATGGCATTCGAACTTTACGCCTAACGGACGATCTGAACGTTACAGCGCGCTGCGTCATTGTATCCCATCTCCGTCTCTTCGTATAATGACAGAATCGTAAAATATTACTGGTAACATTAAGACCTTTAAAAAAGCAGTTTTATGGCCATGTCTGTACTGAACAGAGGGGGTAACTGTTGCACTTTTGTTGCGGACAGGAAGTGACCATCTATATTGACATGCTGCTAGGTGGAATGAGTCTGATCGTAAATCGGAAGACTTAAAACATTAGTCACCTCTCCTTGCTTACAACTGTCATTCAATCTCTACAGCTTGAGAAGGAAGTTTCTAATTCCATGGTTGGAATTCCAACTGAAAACGTAGGTAAGTCACATGAGTCTCAGCACAGGATCTTCAGCAATAGACTTTTGTTTGAATAAGTCTCTATGGCAAGCAGTATGTGCCTTACGCAATGCACTCCTCGATCCGGTACTCTTTGACACACTGAGTACCAGCATTTGCCGCCAGGAACTGGTAGATCGGTTATGGAAAGACCTGGCAAGCGATTATCAGCTGAATGACATGAGTCGAACGCAGTAGCACTGCATGTGAATAAGTGAACGAAAGTATTTTACTGCTTAAATGTATGGAACATGTCCACACCTTTCAATACTGTAGAACAGCAGTAGAAAGTAACAAAACCCATATGTACACGTTAAGTAGTGAGGAAATTAAAATGCTTTTTGCACCATCTATCCGCACATACATACGTACATACTTACACGCCTACATACATGTATGCATGTAGGCGACGATGGGTTCTTCATCATGCGAACCCATGCAGAAATGACTAAATTTCTTCTGAGCTTCATCCGGCAGTAATTTCAGTAATCGTTATTTTTGATCTTGTACCTGAGTCTTGTAAAACGTCGATAATTGTGGTAGATGAACGTCTGGCATTGATAATCCAGAAACAGTATAAAAGGGTCAACATAGCGCTTAGAGGATGCTCATGATGATCAACAGGACGCGCTGTTTGCTATGTGGTAAGGATGAAATTTGTCTCGTACGTTTTGTACATTTTTATTGAATATAACGTTCTTATGCGAGAACGTTCATTACCTCTCTATGACGACAAAGCTGCAATACGTTCAATGAATAGACTATTAGATCAGACCCATTAGGTACGTTGCTCCGTTTATAAATTGTTTCTTTAGTTCCTGTTCTTTTTGATACATTTGTGATATTAGGTTTTTGTAACATGATTTTCGATATAAATATTTCTGTTTACAGTTATACGTCTGTCAACAGATTTAGAATGGTTGCATTGGTTGGGTGTTAAAATTGGATATTCTGACAATTTCCAATGAACATCAGAACAATTGCAGTTACACCTTGTGCTGATTGTAATGCAGGATTAAGCAGCTACCAGGTTGGTCATCTGAAAGAAGAGCTCGCATTGGACAGCACGGCTATACCTTTGACTCATTCTGCTATCACTGTGCCACAACGCCATGCTGTCTCTGTTGTTCACAGGTTAGTTGCGTCGAAGCAACCTCGGGAAAGTTCATGACTTGCACCTCCGAAGTTCATAACTGACCTCACAGCCACCAGGCTGCCGCACTCCTTAGACTGAATATATCATATGACTAATGAGCCTTTCAGTTTTGAGTATTATGCTGTCAATAAGTTAAGAGCCATTTAACAGAAAATTCATGTATAAACTACCCTAAAATATTGTATCGTTGTCGCCAGCGTCCGTCAAGAAAACTGTAATTTAGGAGACGTCATTGAAGGAGTCAAGAAGTTATGCGCTTTTATTGGATGGGAAAAGGAACTGCAACAGTTGATGGACAATCGAGGTAATGATATATGTCCTGTTTTTCCCGTTTTTATAAAAGAAGCGGTTGGTGTTACAGTCTCTGAACGAACTTTGTCTTACCATGAAGTGAAGGCACTAAATTTCGGTGTGTAACAACTCCCTCCGTCGGTTCAGTTTATCCTATATACAGTATAACTTATTCCGCCGAACTTTTTTATAATTAGCTACTGCGTATAATGACGTTTGTGTGCGATTTCCGCTGAACACTCTGATTGAAAACAGTTCTGACTTGGGCAGAACATAGCGAATATTTTATGGCAGCAAAACCTATGTATGCGCTTAAATAGTCCCTTGACCACTAAGAGCAAGTGGACTTGTGGACAAGCCGTGAATTCGGTTTTGTAGGAGTTAAGCTTATATTAGCGTACTTCTGCTACCGGTACCTGGTAGGTTTCGCAAAAATACATACATGTACTACGTAATGTATGTTTATATATATTCTTGTTATGCCGGCATCCACTTAATTTTATGGACGTTCTGTTTCTTGCGGAACCACTCCAT